TTCTCAGAATATTTAATATTTTTCAAATGACTTAAATGACAGGTCATTTGAGTTGCAAATGACAAATGACAAATGACTTGTCATTTGAGTCATTTGTTCATTTCAAGTCATTTGCCGAACACTGAATCGTATAAATTTCGTGATAAAATCAGTGATCAAATCATGTAAATTCCATATTTATTCCTTGCAAATTCCGTATCCAAACCATATTTTTAGTGATACGGAATTGTGCATTTTTCCGTATCCTATTATGATACGTTATTTCTAAGGAAAAAAAATCATATAAAAACTTTATAAAAATCGTATCCAATTTTTTTATAGGGCAACAAATTTGATGAAGGAAAAACAAAGTGTAAAGATTGTGAAAATGATGAAAATGAAATTGATATCAAGGTCAAAAGATTAAAACAAATATGTAATGATACCAATACAGAAATAACTGAAAGAGAATTATTAAGGTTAATCAGTATGGGATATACTGATGGAGAAATACTGGATCAAGAATTCATTGAAACATTCCAGGAAAATAAAAATGATTTGGAGAAAATTTGAAATGGATATTGGATAAATTTCTAAAACAACAAACAGGAATTGAGGATAGTGAAAGTAGTGGAAACAAATCTGATGATAAAGAATCAGATGGATCTAAAAAAGATGGAGAACTTTTAAGTCCAAATAATAGTGATAATAATGAAAATTTTGAAGAACCTTATGAAGAAAACATTATAAATAGACCTGACTTTGACTCAAGTGAAAGTTCAGAAACAAATTCTGAAGATAAAAGTGAAATATCTGATTATAATATAGAAAATTTATTTGAAACACCTTTAATACCAATACCACCGATAGTACCAATAGTACCAATAAATATGGGAGCAACAAGAGCCAAAGTTAGGAAAGATTTTAGGGCAGCTTTATTAGCAGTAACAGGACATGACATAGGAGGCAATTGGGCTGGATTAGTCGCAGCCAATCCATTAGCAGATGCAATCGAGGATGCAGGTAATGTAGCTGGAGGAATAATTAGTATGCCACAATTTTATGGAAAGGAAGAAGAAGACATTAATGATTGGGTAAGACAATTTGAAACAGCATTTACTGCCATAGGAAAAGCAGCAGGAGTTAATGGAGTAAGACAAGCAGCAATGGCAGCTACCTGTTTGAAAGGTGCAGCAGCACAATGGTATAATGAAAAGAAAGAAACAAATAATGGAAACTTAGTAAATTGGCAAGATAATGATAATGATAATGATTTAAAACATAGAATTAAACAAAGATTTACCAGAGAGGATGTTAGAAAAAGAAAAATGTTAGAATTAAGGAAAATAACATAAGGAATAAACAAGAATGTTGAAGCATATACGACAAGGTTCAGACAAATACTAAGGATAGCTACCAGAGGTCATGCATTGGATGATGATTTACAAGTAGATAATTACATTGAAGGATTAACACCAGTGTTAGGGTATCAAGTCAGAAGACAAAACCCAGCAAATTTAAATGATGCAGTGAATATGGCAAGGAGAGAAGAGGAAGCTACTAATGAATTGATGAGAAAAACACTTAATATACCAGTTAATACCCAAAGAAAAGGAATTGATATACAGGATGATAAACCAAAGAATATATTTGAAAAACCATTGGAGAAAAATTATGAGGATGACCTCACTGAAATGTTTAAAAAATTAAAAGTAAAATTGACAAACCAACTTGGAGGACAAAGAAGACCACCAAACAATAACAATAGACAAGGACAACTACATCGAGTATGTTATAAATGTCAACAATCAGGACATTATGCAAGGGAATGTAGAGTGAATAATGGGCAAGAAAACTATAGAAGACCAAACAATCAAAATTATAATAAAGGACCAAATAACTATAATGGAAGACCAAATAATTATAACAGACCACCAAATTACCAAAATAACAATAGAGGATTTAACGCAATGGAATATTATAACGATTATAGCGATCAATATGATTATGATAATCAAAATTATCAGGATAATAAAGCATCATTTTATGATCAAGGATATGATTATGATGACCCATACTACCAAGATAATAATATAGCATTCAACCATTTTGAACAAGATTTCTATAATAATGGAAGACAGACAAGGAGTAACATAAAAAACAGGTCAAGCGATCGAGATATAGATATGGAAATTGAGCAAGAACAAGCACGCAGAAGAGACAATAAATACGCAAGTCAACAGGAAAAGGCAGCAGCACTACCAAAAAGAGGGTTCACTGAGAACAGTTTAAGAAAAGCACAAGAAGCAAGAAGAAATAATAATACATGTGGAAACTGTGGACAAAGGGGTCACTATGCAACAGAATGTTAAAATGAACGTGTTGAAGGTATCCATAGAATAAGCGCATTTCAAAGAAATATACCAAAATATAATGTACTAGAGGATATGAAAAGTATCAAAGCAAATGCAACTTTTTCACAAATTATAGATATGAGCCCAGAGCAAAGAAAAATATATTATGAAGGAATGAGAAGATATCCACAAGCAGATTAACTACAGGAATCATTAAATAACGTTGAATCAGAATACTTAACAGCATTAAGGGGTAAATTAATGATAAACCAAGAACCAAAGGATGTAATGTTCGATACAGGGGCAGCAGTAATAAATGTAATAACTAGTCAAATAATGGATGAAATGGATTTAAAAATTGAGGAACCAAGTACAGTAAGATGTGTAATGATAAATGAGGATAAATTAGCATCAAGGGGTACCACAACAATATACATACAATTTGGGAATAAGGAAATACCAATCAAAGTTGAGGTTATTGATTCAGAAAAGAATGAAATTGTGTTAGGAAATGGAGTATTAGATACCGTACCATTCCGAAATTAAACAACCATTTTTTGAACTTAACTCCGGCCAACGTAGTCATAATTCTGGTCAAAATCGCGATAATGCAGGCCAGGGTTGCTTATTTTCGGGGGTTGTTTAATTTTGGAATGGTACGGTATGTTAGGATCCAGAAATATATATAAAAGGGTCAGGTTTGAGTTTGCGTATTTTGAACTAAAAAAATCATGAAAATCTTTCCTTTTTTAGATAATTTTTGATAATGCCAGTCATAATTTTATTTCCTATTATAGTAACTGACTGGCATTATCATAATTCCGGCCCTGAAAAAATGCGTACAGCTCATAGTAAAAAAATTTTTTCATCACCTGACCCCTATATATATATTTCTGGGTCCTGATATGTTCAAGGCAAACATAGATTATACAGATAGAACATTAATACTTAAAATGGATGATAAAACCATGGATATACCAGTAAAATATACACAAAGGACCATTAAAGGATTTGAAGAAACATTCGATGAAGAAGAGATACTGGAAGAGTTATATCAGGATGAATTATACAACATATATGAAGATGACCATGAAAATTATGAAGATGAAAATTTTAAAGTATAAGTCTTGGTTAGAATGATACTGAAGAGACAATAAAGAAGCATAAAAGTGACTACGAAAAATTTACTGAAAAATTTAAAGTTGGGGACATAACCAATGAACAAAAGGGTAAATTAAAGGTATTAGTAGAAAAATATAAAGATATATTTGAGTATGATGGTGAAAAATTTAACAGGACAAAATTGGTAAAACATGAGATAAGGTTAAAAGAGGGTACTGAACCAATAGCTCAGAAAAGGTACAAAGAAAATAATGAAAAAGGTAAATTTATTAGAAAAGAAATGGACGAAATGTTAAAATTGGGAAAAATTAGAGAATCCAGAAGCCCATGGTTTTCACCAGTAACTTTAGCAGGAAAAAAGTCTGGGAATTATAGATTTTGTATCAATTATAGAAAATTAAATAAGGTTACAATAACAGATGCATACCCATTACCAAGAATCGATGAACAATTAGAAAGGATAAGCTCAGGAAAATGGTTTACAAGTTTAGATTTAGCATCAGGGTTTAACCAGATAGAAATGGCTGAGGAGGATATTGAGAAAACAGCTTTTATTTGTTCGGCAGGATTGTATGAATATAATGTCATGCCATTTGGATTGACAAATGCACCTGCAAGCTTTCAAAGATTAATGGATAAAGTACTGAAGGAATACCTGAATGATTTTGTGATAGTATATATTGATGATATAATGATATATTCAGAAAATTTTGAAGACCATCTGAAACACATAAAGTTAGTGTTGGAAAAATTAAAGGAAGTAAGCTTAATATTAAAATTA